GAAACGGACAAGCGGTAGCCAGTTTCCCACACGGCAGCACCTGTAATAAATGAGCAAAAAACATCCTTAAACAGCAGTAGTCAGCTTTCACTGACACGGGAATCCCACACCCTGTCTTTTAAATGGCATTTGCTTTCAACTTTTCAGCATCTCCCAAATACAGGTACATGTGCTTTTCTCTCTAATAAATGGCTTGGTAACAGTGAATCAGAACCAGAAACCCCATTTGATACATAAAAGGACAATGTCCCTGCTCCTCCACATATTTGTGATCCTATTTAAAGCTATAATGATATGTTAAAGGTAAATTTAAATTTACCTTTAAATTTAAATTTAATTTTTTTTAGTTATCTAAAAGAAAATTGGGTCAATTAAATCTAAATCTATTTTATTGTTCAATAAAATATGTTATAATTGACAAGTAATCTATGAGAGGAGTGTTTCTTCTATTTTGCTTAAAAAAATAATATGACATATTTCTTCATTTTTAATTTTAGCCTTTTAGTTCCCAAGGTAAGCAAGAAGGGTCCAGGATCATAATTTAGTTATTATTCCCACGAAGAATAATAAAGGAAAAAGAAAGAAAGATTAAAACCTAAATTCTCAGTGTTTAGTCCACAAGACTGGGCTGGCTTATGTGATAGCATTGTCCAGTCCCTTTAAATCTATCTACCTTCTCCTCCCTCCCTCCCTCCCTCCCTCACTTCAGTTCAGAAGCTGAATTGGGGCTTATCTCCTTTCTAGCACCTGGGAAGATGGGAGATAATGCCATTCTGAAGACCTTCTCCAACATGCTCTCCGCACAGATGTGGTTTTTCAGAAAGTGTTTATACCTCCATTTACAGAAAATATAATGACAAACTTGAGATTAGCAATTATAGTCAATATTCAGAGATACAGCCCTAACTTCAGGGACAGCTAAAAACCAATAGTGGAGAATGTTCAACATTCATAGTTCTGATCTGCAACCTTAAAGAGGATTTTTACCTCAAGAATTGGTAACCACCTCTAAAACAAAGTTAGTTATTAAATCCTATAATTAATACATCTGAAGTAATCATAATCATTTGAAGTACTTACAGTTTATTTGGGGTACTTCTATTTATTTCTGTTATTTCTAATAATATTTCATTGTAACCAAAATTCTTAGTACAAGAAAGGATTAATATAACACTCACTTTTTTTTCTCTCTCTCATTTTTACATTTATTATATGAAAAAGAAATTGCCTATGGCAGTGGCTCTCAGTCTTAGGAAGCAATGGGTTCCCTGGAGCATTTGTTAAAACCCAGATTTCTGAACAGAACTAGATTCCGGGCCTCACATTTCCTCACATTTCCATTTCTGAAAATTTTCAGAACATGTTGTGGCAGACAGCCTTCAAAGGACTCCAGGTCGGGCAGGTCTGTCTTGAGGAAATACCCATAAATGCTCCATTATTTCATTTATTTAATTTGGGCATCATCAAATCTCTTAATGACTTTACTAAGCAGTTGGTTTAAAACAATCTCCTATAAGTTTTTATAGCTACCTTGTTTAACTAAACATTTGTTGACTTTTCTCAAGAACTCTCCTGTTCTTCAGACGTCTTCAATATTGCAATTGGAAATTAAGATGAATGGCTAGCCAGATGGCTCAGTGACCAACAGCACTGATTGCCCTTTTAGGGGATCATCGCTCTGTTTTCACTACCAACTGAGGGGGCTCACAGCCACCTGTGACAGTTACAGGACATCTGTTGCCCTCTCCTGGTGTCTGCAGGCATCTTCACTCAGAGACAGATCCACATAAAATCGAATAACTATAAATCAACAAATCTTAAAAGAAGTTTAATATGCTTTTCTTGATTCTTGACCACCCCCCCCCACTTTTGTCTCCACTAGGGATTCAACATAGAGATGTATGCACAGTGGGCAATCAATCTCCACTAAGGTGTAAGACAGTTTCCAAAGTGGCCTACTTTTGTGCCTAAGGTCATGGTCGCTACATACCCTTTATCCTTCCAGGCCCGCAGCTGGGCACAGTTCCAGAGTGCACATCCTGAGGAAATGGACATAGAAGACTCCATGTACTACACATTTGTTTGGGTTGCTTCAGAGTACAAATGATAAAAATTGCTATTGTAAATGATGACATTATCAGTAGATGCCCCAGTGTAAACCCCTTCATTCAAAGAATATGCATTCCACAATTTTAAACCTGGTACATGCAGGGTAAAGTCCCATGTGGTTATCAGCTCATCTCAGATTAAAATAGGAGAAAAAAAACCAGAAATATCTTAGTCATTACACTATAGTAAATGTACATTTTTATTATTTTACTTAAGTTTAAATGTTAAATGCTTGCTGAAAAGGGAAAAGGGAGCAGGTTGCATCTTATTCCAGCCAATAATAGTGTCACTCCCTTGCCATTCCCTGCCCCAAAGGGAGAAATTGGAGTTATAGCTGTCACACTTTTCTATGTCCCTGTTTCTTATAATCATATTAGCTGGTGGCTTTAATTAAACCTCTAAGAAACTGGCCAGTTTTTTTATTGTTTCCATTAGTAAAAATTATAACAAAGGTTCAGTTTGGAGGGAACAAAAGAATTACCTCATGAAGCCTGTGTCCACCTCATCCACCCTTCATCCCAGTGACTTAATCTGCACATCTGGATGCCTCTGGAACTAGGTAGAGTCACTCTGCCTCACCCTGCTTTTTGTTCCCCTGACAAGTTTCTCTTTCTGCCCCCTCCTCTCTGGGATTGTGCTCTTGTGATATTAGAGGTTTCCTTCCTATTCCTTCCCCAGGGAAGTTGCACCGCACAAGCCATTTCTGTCTCCATTGGAAAATGGCTGATGGAGCCCCACCCTCTCCCGCAGGAAGTCTATGACTCCAGAGAGGATGCTGAAAAGAGAACACTTACTTGAGGGCTACAGTCTCATCACTGAGACTTTGCACTGTGTCCTATTACGTGTTTGGGTGGAATTGTTAAAGAGACAAATGTCTTGCCTTTCGGAATCCCTGATTATTTTATAAATATCCTGATAGGGCCTTTAACATTATCTTAATCCTCTTCACACTTCTTAATCACCCAGGCCTCCCTTAAGACACTGTCAGGAAATTCCTTGAAGAGTTTCAAGTGGGGATTAGAGGCTAGGGTCACCTTAAACTCCAGGGGACCAAGAGTCAGTGGAGATAACAAACTGTGATGTTGTAAGAGTAAATAAGAAGCAGTCAGTTGATACAAACTTACAACCAAACTCAGGTGACACTGGCTTCTGAGTCCCTTCAGTTTGTCAGCCGAGGTTTCCTCTTTAAAAAATTAGATCAGAGGATATGCTCTCTCTAGCAATCTTTTCTTTTGAGATGACTTTGTTACTTGTGACAATCCCCAGCCTTCAGGAACATCTGACCTTTCCTTTACTTCTGAGAGATGTAAGAAAGTACCCCAAGGAAAGGTTCAGACCATTTGTTCAAAGTGAAAATGAATGTCTGAAAATTAAGCACAACCTAAGATGTGATCTATTTCTTTGTCCACTTGGGACTGTCTGGTCTAACAGCAGTTATAATTTGATTGAGGTTTGACTGCTCTTCTTTTCCAAGACAGAATTAGCCAATTCCAGAATACCTCATGAGCAGACACAGCCTTAAAGAGAACACACAGCTACTTAGCGACTGCTTGAAGGAAAAAAACACCCCTTGGTTCCCCGGCCCAAATAATTCAACAAATTTCTTTCCTGGGATAATTAGAGTATGAATCAGATAGATATCAAACAGATAGTCAATATCCTCAATATTTTACGGTGGGAGGTTAGATGCAGCATCAGAAAAGTCAAATTTGCATAAGTATTACAAGCATATTGTGCCTATTTTCCCATTCTGTTCACTGCGTCTCATTAATTCGAGTCAGACGGTACAGACTCTGCACCCCGAGCGTCTGCTCCTCTGTACCCCTTCTGCTTCAGCTCTGTCCCCAGATGGTCAAAATCCATCCACGGGGCTCACAGCTAGTCTAGTGAGTCAGAAATGGAATCTACCCTGGTCTTCTAGGGAGGAGAGTTCTGAATAAAGGTAAGGGGCATTTCATTTGTCTTGCGTTTCACTGCGTTTAATGACGATCAGAGATCGGAGCTGCTGAATATCATTCCCACGTGTTAGCCTTGGGGGATCACAAGGAAAGAGAACCAGGTCTGAGGATTCGTGGACCCCTTCTTGCCCAGACTTATACCTGGGTGTCCATTTCTTAACATCTGAGTGCTGAGAGAAGTTTATCAGAGGATTGGAGAAGCCAAAGAATAGGGTCTCTATCAGAGAGAGGAGCGACAAGGGCAGTGCTCCCCACTCCTCCACTCCGGGCGGGGAGGGAGTTCAGTGCACGTTGAAAAGGCTTACCAGACCCTCCCCTTCTAGCCACAGCAAGTTCTGCCCATTTTCTTCCCATTCACTTAACTGCCAGTCCCTCTTGACTGACTCTACTGTCCCTCATCCCACCCTCTCCAAAAAAAGGAGAAACACTAGGGCGTCAGGAATGCGCTCCACTCCAGGATCGCGACCCACCACCAAAAAAGCACATGAGTTGTAGCAGGCAGTGGTCTCGCAAATGGGCAATTCCTTATGCAAGACGTCTTCAGAATGAGGGGAAAGGTGAACAGCCCACGAGCTGCCGCATCCTCTCCCTCCACAGAAACCAGCTTTGGGTGTCTGAGACGCTTTTCAAGATAATGCTAGCCTCGGGGTTCAGGTGAGACCTAGAGAGAGAAAGCTGGCGGGTACCTCCTGTGCATCCTTTTTTCATCTGCCAGCAGTCTTTATCCAACAGCTTGGCCGCTCGGCGGGCTGCACGCACAGCGTGGAAGGGCTCATCTTCACCCGGTGACTCCCGCGGCGGAGGCGCGCGGGGCGTGCTCGCGAGCGACCAGCGAAAAGTTGTGCGCACTCTTGGTAGGAGGAAAGGGAGTGGAGACCGAGCGCGGGAGAGCGCAGAGGCAAGGCAGGGAGGGGGCGGGGGTGGGGGACTGCTTACATGAATTTCCAAGTGGTAGACCTGCCTCGGAGCTCTGCCCAATGAGATCCGTCAGGGGAGGCACCCGGCTCACTTTTCCACATCACTTCACAGTTACATTTGGCAGGCAGGCGGGCTCGCATGCCGGAGCGCTCGCCCAGAATTAGTGGATGGCTTTCGAATCTCCCTGCCTCTTAGAAGCTCCGCCGCCGCCGCTTTGGGCATAGACCAGAGCGTCAACACACCAGCTGTACTTTTGGGCTGCGGACACCCCAGAGCCCAGCGCGCCCGCTTCGCGTCTCCGCACTAGGCTCCGCAGTTCCGAGCGGCATGAGCGCGATTCAGAGGCGACTACCCGGAGCTCAGGGATCCGTGGACACTTGCCGCCCTCGGGAGCAGACCCTCAGCTCTTCCAGCCGTTTATGAAGCCCGAGGCTTGAGTTTTTGTTTTTTTGTTTTTTTTGGTTTTTTTCCCGCAGCCCGGAACCCGACCTGAGTAAGTACTATACCCTAGCCACGTACGCCTCCGGGCGGGGAAGAGCCGGAGGGATTGTTTCCTTTAGGAATTCCCACGCTCCCCCGGACATCTTACGCACCTGGTGGATGAGGGATTCTAGCACTGGTACCCTCCGAGCCGCGTCTCCTTTTGCGGCATCGGTAGATGACGGGGATGCCTTCTGTCTAAGGGGTTTTACAAACTGCTCTCAGAGCAGCTATGGAGGAGTCTGGAACCCCAGGCTACCCCGCTCCAGTTACCCTGCCGCCTTCTCATTCTCGCGGTCGCCTGGCGTTTTCGCCGTGGAGACGCAGGCAGGCGCTGCTGCAGCCGGTGCGCCTTCACTGCGGGGTCGGTGCGGTGAAAGGAAAATACTAGCCGCCTCCACAGAGGAGGCTGCTAGCCTGAAAGGAAAGCAGGCTGAGGGGCCAGAGAAGCTGACTCCTGGCTTTCTGCATGCCCCACCTCTTAGCCATGGGAGGGCGACCCTATCGGTTGGGCCAAGGGCTACTGTTTTCCTGCGAAAGCCCCAGCGCCAGGATTTTCCACAAGTGTCTGTTCCAGCCTGGGGGGCGCGGTGCCAGCTGCAAACTTGCGGAGCTCCAGGGCCACCTAGCCACTAAGCAGTCACCAAGACGCTGCTCCGCAACAGCGGAAGAACCCCAGGCAGACTGTTCAGTGCCTGTGAGCCTGCACCATAGGCTCCCAAAGCACCGGATGACTTCTCCCTCTCCCAGAGCCCCAGTACAGAAAGATATAACGTGATGTTTATGCTTATCACCGGTCAACCCGGGGGGTCCAGCCGCGCCCCTTCCCGACAGTAGGTGAATGGGGACTCCTGGCTACTTTCTGCCAGCATGTTCATAACGGACCTACCCGGGTTTCCCAAGGCTCAAATCAAGCCTGGTAAACCGTGTAAACGTTCGGCCACCAATGCTGATACCAACAGGTATCCAGCAATTCCTCCTTCTTTTTTCCTCCCCAAGACTAAATCTCCCCTCGTCCAGTCTTGTAAAAATCTCAAAGTTTTGAGCTGGTGGCCCCTTGCCCAAGGCATACAGCCTGAGACACATCAATGACTAGCCTGTTAGCCTCTGAGCAGAGATGGCAGCTGTTAGCTCGGATTGCTAAACGGTAAGAAATCAAACAACATTAATTGTTTATTGTTGCAAACGCACAACATTAGTCCGTAATGGAAAATCAGACTGGCAGCTGCTCACTTCAGCTCCAATTAAAGGGCAGAGCTTATAACCAAGCAACCGGGAGGAGAAGGAGTCCTTTCAACTTTGCCCTGGATTCTGAGGGTTGCAGGCAGTTTCCTCCTTAGGGGGGCACGATCCCAACAATTGCTGTGCTCACCAAAGCTGCTAACCAGATCAGCAGCTATTTTCTGTTAACACTCTTCTCAGGGTTTGTGGGAATGAGCGGATGTCTCAGATAGTATGCAAGAAAGGTGGCCTCTGGCATCAGGGACTATCGCCAAGCAGATAGAGAAACTGGGGTTGCCTGGGACCGTTTTGACATTTCCCCTCCTCTTTATAACAGTCTGACAGCCATCTGGATGCTTAAAAGCTCGATCTAAGCTGTCACCTCTGCCTTCATTATATGAGCATTTCAACTGGAAAACTCTATGTGAGAAAGAGATATTTATGTAAGATTTGAAAGTGGGATTTTCCATCCATTCAGTCTCGCTGCTATACTTCACTGCATGCAAAATGAACCCTGTCGTTCCTGCTAAACACCACTGAAATTTCTCCCTGGCTACCGCCTTTCATCAGTCTGTGTCTGGTTTTGCAGAGATTTGTCTGTAATATGTTTGTGAATGTGTATGTGTGGGTATGTGTGTTGGGGTGGGAATGTTTCTTCTTCTGGAGAGACTCATATCTTTGAAGGTTGCTTTGTGAGGGTTACATTTTTCCCTCACCAAAGACAGCTCTTCATAATAGCGATGTGCACATAGGTTTACCACTTCCCTCTGTGGTTGAAATTCTAGGACTAGTCCTCCTATTGAGCAATAAAAGGGACAGCAGTTCTCTCTAAGTCAGCTTTAGCAGATTGAAAACTCCTTGTCACATCGTCAATTTTTTTTTTTTGCTGCAAGGGTTGCATGAAATTTTAAATCATCATATATATGCATATAAATGTATATATGTATATACATATTTTTAATCTTTCTTTCTCTGGCCGTGGAAGAGGGTGAGGAGTTGAGGAAAATCCCTCCTAAAAATAGAGGATGCTTTCTGCCACCTCCAGGGTGTCTTCATTCAGGACTGCTCCATACTTTTTTTGTTCTGAAGACGGTGGCATGAGAGTAAAGTCAAGTGCTCACCATCACAAATGGATGGAGGCACTTGCTAAGGATTTCAAAGACCTGTGCTATAATTCTGTGCATTAAACTTTTAAAATGCCATGATATTTAAAAATCCCTAATTCTTAATGCTATTAAAAAAAACTTACTGATTTTGTTTTATTATGTATGGTCTCTGGAAGCCCTCCAGTTCCCGGATGGGTATATCTTTGCACTCCAAACTGTAGCATTTCTTGAATGAACTTCTTGTGTCCACGGAGCCTCTTTTAAGTTCTTGAAGCAGTTTGGATCTGGATAAAGGGCAGACCATTTTAGAGTAGCCCTCGCTGTACCTGCTGCAAGCATATCAACTGCGAAAGGAAAGCTGTCTGTACCATGACCTCAAGTGCTTTATAGCACAGCAATTTAAATATCATTCCTCTGCAACATCTTCATGTAACATTGAGCATCACATACACGGACCAGGCCAGACCATGTATCAACAGCGTGTCAAAACTCAAAAAAGAAGAAAGCACTGTTAGATTGTTCAGCAAGATGAGAGACCCCTTGAGAAAGTATTTGTAAAGACTAGTCTATTAATGTGCTCATCTCGTAATAGTTCTAGGAAAATAGGTAGATGTTTAAGGTCTGTTGCTCTCTGTTAGCCTGCAGGATCAGACAGTTGGGAGAAATCAAATAAACCCCAAAGAAGGAGAATGCGATAGTTCTGTTCAAGAAGCTGTAACTTTGGACTCTGTTTTCCAAGTTTCTTTCCTTGTCAGAGAAGGGGAACGAAGGCACATTTGTCAGAAGGTCGAATCCTCACTTCAGTAACTGCTCAGAAGACTTTGTTAAAAGAAGTAAATTAGTCCTCCCCAACAAAGTATTCTTCTGCTCAAAGATGGGTTTATCATGGCTTTTTCGACATCCCAGTTTGAGGACCATTTCTATGCAAAGCCATGGGCAGTGTAAATCTGGCCTTCAGTTTTTAGTTCTTACCAGTTTGCTGGCCTATCAGTGAGGTTTTGTGCTTGACAAGTGAAAAGGCAAGCACAATCACGGCAACCTTCTGATTGTAGGCACAGCTTAAAATCCCTAGATTCAAAATACTGAGCCCAGAGGTGCTGCTAGTATTTCCGTTATTTTATGTTTGTTGCAAAGTTATTCAGAGAAGTAAAGAAAGAGATGAGAGTTTTCTTTTTGCATTTCTTGTTCAGTACTGTTGACATTCGGGGGTGAAATAGGACCAACTTTGCTCATTATTTCAAGGAACCTCTTGTTATTTCCGAGTATTATATGTCTACTGCAGGATGCTGTCTGTCACAAACTAAGTGACATATTTACAGTCCTCTCCCACGTTATCCACAAACATACAACTCACAGGACAGATAACTTAAATCAAAAACATGCCTAGATCACTAACTGAGGTACCGGTTTAAGTAGAGGAACTTACTCATGTTTCCCTTGCCATTTCATCTGCCTTTACGTTTTGTATCTAGTGCCACTGGGTTTTCAGATTTATACCATGATCGGTCTTCTTAGCAATATTGTCTGTGCGGACATAGATGATACTGTGGGGATTTCCCCTGGAATCTTCTGGAACGTTGCTTTGCTTTCGATAGGCAAAAGCTATCATCTGGTCAAGCAAGGCTTAATTATCCCCGGGCACATTGGTACCATTTCTTTGCCTTTGCTTGGGAAGTTGAGCTTCACAGTTTGTTTGTACTAAACTGTTCCTATCTCCGGAACCCACTTCAGATGTAGCCATGGGCAGAAAATTAGCTGAACCTGGTGACTTCAAAAGGTCATGGAAGAAATGAGTTCAAGGGATGCCATTTAGCTTCCCGTCCCATATGTTGCTGCTGACTGCATCTCTGTTGCCACTTCACAAAACAACGTTGGTACCAATGTGGTTACCTTTTCTATCATGTCCCAAGCTTTTATTTCTTGAGTTTTAAATGTCATGTACTACTGCCTATCATAAATATCACTCACCTTCTTGCCTGTAAATGTCTTTCTTTTTAAAAAAAAAAATGTTCTGCTTGTAGGTAGAAATGTATGGATGTGCTTTTCTAGATCTTTTAAAGAAAGTATCATGAAAAACAAAACCACTTGTATTCACAACCTTCATACACTTTCCTTGTCCGTCGCCACTGCTAAAGATAATTTTGAATGCTGAGAATGGTTGGTCCAGGGCCAAGTGCAGAGTTAGTGCCCGGTAAACATTTACTTAATGCATTAAGAAATTAGCAAAGACCCTGCCCCCTACCTTTTCTAAGCATTTTCATTAAGGGGATGGAGGGCAATCATATGCAATGTCCAATACCAGGACATAGATACTACAATTATTTCTCAAGAAATTTCCTAAGTCCTCCTTAGTTTATTTTGAGACACAACTTTTTCATTTAAAAAAATCACTTTTATTTTTATTCATTTTCCACATATCTGGTTTTTAATCTATTCAAAATAATTTTAAATGGCTTAGGAATATAAAGTGTACTAAAACTGAAAATCCATTCAAAGTTAAGTTTACATCTCCAGATGTAAACTGCATAGTACACATAGTTATATGTTTTAGAGAAAATGTTCTAATTGTCCAACTACTGTGTGGGCAAGACAAGGTCTGCATTTTGACTACCTCTGAGGGAACATAAAATTATCTCAGAGGAAGAGTCTGCTTGTCTTAGTCTCTGATTCTATCCTGCATTTTCAT